CCTGAGGAGAAAGCGGAAGAGACAGCTAGTAGTGTGAGCTACACGATACAGTTTGGAGTGGATGGGGGGAAATTGTGAGTGAATGAGAGGTCAGTTCTGGCTTACGCCTGGAGCTTATCGGTTACATAACTGTGCTGTTTGACACAATATGATCAGTCTGGCTACGGCAGCCTATCACATTTAACGCAAACTCTGACTGTCGGTAAACCCATGACAAACTCTGACTGTCGGTAAACCCATCACAAGCACCCTGACACCTTAGGAACACATAAGGTCTCTTTCTGCATATTATTATACAATTTAATTTATATTTTTAACCGTATTTAAGTCCTGGGATGGCAAAGATGAATGTTCAGCAGCAATTACTCCAGTCTTCAGTGTCACATGATCCTTCAGAAAGCATTCTAATATGCTGGTTTGGTGATCAAGAAAAAATTATTATTATCAATGTTGAAAACCAAGATACATTTTTTTTTAGATTCTTTGATCAATAAAAATTTCAATTGAACAGCATTTATCTTAAATGATAATCTTTAGTAAAAAAATAAATAAAATACTGACAGCGTAAATTCTCGATTTTAAATCTTTCACAACTCTGGTCTGGTTCATGTCCACTGTATGCACAACTTTTTGGTTTAAAAAAAAAAAGGGGGGAGAGTCAATTATTTTTTGATGGTAATGCTACAAATTATGCCACAAATGTTGTCATATGAGTTCAACTTACATTAGACCAGGAAAATTCTTGTACGGTTTCACTGTAACTGATGTGAGCAAAATTAAATCATTATTTGCAATTATTTGTATGACAATTAATGGCCTGCCAAAATATAATCATGACAGTCCCACATAATACCTTTCCAAACTAGTCACAGAAGGAAAGCAGCACGACAGATATTTAGAATTTGGGAAGGTCACTCAGAGTCTGTCTGAGGTAGCTTATTAACATCCATGTCAACATTACTCTGTCTGGCTTTATAGATAATGAATGTACAGTGAAAGGCTCCAGAAAGCCATTGTGTCTCAATAGCCTAAAGGAAAAAATGTCGACCTTCAAGCTGCAGGAAATGCCAGAGATGATCTGACTGGGGCTGGGGCAGAGGTTAAGGCAGTAACTTACTCTTTGCAGGCGTTGGAGACATGGGCAGGTACAGTGTATTTGCAGTCCATTATCATAGTGAGGGTCTCGCTGTCGTTGGCCTCCTGGAAAGGGGGCTGACCACACACCAGCATGAAGAGGATGACCCCTAGACTCCAGATATCTACCGGGAAGAGGGTAAAAATGTCATCAGCATTTCCAACAGACTGTTTAATTCACTAGAATAGTGAAGAGGAAAAGAAAACATCAGAGCCTTTCATTGCCTCAGGAAGGGAGTCTGATAGAGTCTGTAAGTGCATGTTAAGGTCTACATACCTACAATGACAACCAAGAATTTGGCACTTGTTTTTATTTGCATTTGTGTTCAGTATTTATGATTCTCAATATACTGTGTAGGCTCATTTTCCTATGGTGGTGAAACACTTTCACACAGGTGGTTTTGGTGCGGACCTGATTTCAACAGATTTATTTACTTTGATTAGTGTGAATAAAAGCTGTCATCTAAACTTGGTTGCACACAAAAGAATTGCATGATTCGGTTTAAAAACATTCTTGACTAAATCAAATGTACAAAGTGTGAACATAGCTATAAAGGATTAGTTCACTCCAAAATTAAGATTCTGTCATCAGTTTACACAAGAGAACCACATGATTCAGACTGAAAAAAGTGTTTTGAAGAAAATAACTACATTTGTTTTCAAAATCAATCAAATGTACCAAGTTTGAACACAAATTTAAAGGATCAGTTCAACCAAAAAGAAAAATTCTGTCATCATGGCATACAAAACAACAACATGATTCAAAATGACAATAGTGTTCTGAAGGAAAGGGGGACAAACTGAATTTGGTTTCAAACTCAAGCAAAAGTACCAACTGAACACAATTTTGAAGGTTTAGTTTACAACAAAAAGAAAAGTCTATAATAATTTCACAAAAAGAGCCAATTGATTCAGATTGACAAGAGTGTTCTGAAAGAAAGGGGACAAACTGAATTTGGTTTCAAACTCAAGCAAAAGTACCAACTGAACACAATTTTGAAGGTTTAGTTTACACCAAAAAGAAAAGTCTATAATAATTTCACAAAAAGAGCCAACTGATTCAGATTGACAAGAGTGTTCTGAAAAAAAGGGGGACAAACTGAATTTGGTTTCAAACTCATTCAAATGTACCAAGTGTGAAGACAATTTTGAAGAATTAGTTCACCCCAAAATGAAAAGTCTATCATAATTTCACACAAAAGAACCACATGATTCAGATTGACAAGTGTTCTGAAGAAAAGGCGGACAAACTGAATTTGGTTTCAAACTCATTCAAATGTACCAAGTGTGAACACAATTTTGAAGAATTAGTTCACCCCAAAATGAAAAGCCTATCATAATTTCACACAAAAGAACCACATGATTCAGATTGACAAGAGTGTTCTGAAGAAAAGGGGGACAAAATTAATTTGGTTTCAAACTCAAACTCAAATGTACCAAGTGTGAACAATTTTAAAGGATTAGCTTACCACAAAATGAAAATTATTTCATCATATCATATCTCAAATATTTCTTGTGTATTACACTACAATAGAAAAATGTAAATAAATGGACTGATTGTTCAATTTTAGGGTGAATGATCATAGCGGGACTGGCATACAGGGTTTTAGACTATGACTAAAATAGTCACAAATGTGACAAAAAATTAACATTTCTGACAATGGCTCATAATCTAGTCACCACTGGCAACAGTTGGGAAAACCAGTGGAGACCTGGCACACAGATATCCCTGAATTTGTCCCTGAAATTCTGTGCACATTTCAATAATCACAAAAAATAGTTTTAAAGATGTGTGGACTCTTTAGTTGATTACAACTTTTCTGTAATCGTGAGGCACTAATGTGCAAAGTGTGAGATGCTTAGAGACTTTGTGCTCTGGTGGTGAGCAGCAGAAAGTCAACGGAGTTTGGGAGAAGTGGCCGAGCCTATTAACAGACATTAAATCAATTTAGCAGCGTGGGTGGCCCACAAACTGAGAAAAATTGGTTTATCGCAGCCAAAATCTGCCCCACGAGCCCCAACTGTCAAAACACAAGGGACATAATTAACAATTGCTACAGAATGTTCAATAACTAAACAGCATAAAAACCCACTGCATGAGCGGTTTGCAGTGGCATGCACTACCTAATCTTAAATCAGAAATTGTAAGTACAGCTGTAAATGAAATGAAAGATAAAGTTTAAGCAAAACTTCCATTAGCCCTTCATTCCCTGGGGATGTCACCACAAAAAACGGCAACAGTTTGCAGTGGCAAGAAGCAAACCACTTTAATAGGTCCATTTTATGAAATTGACAACACATTTGAGAAAATGGAAGAGGCATGATTTCTTGCTCTAGCTTGCACAGATAGCAGGGGTGCATTTCTAGAAGGTAATGTGAGATGTCTGATCTAATAATGGCTCCTCGGAGAGCTCCAATCTGCTGCGGAGTGTGCAGCAGTACACCTGAGGCACCGAGCAGCCGTGGTTATGCACCGTGCCAGTGGCTCTGGACCGTTTCCGTCCCTGCTGGGACTGTTCGGCTGCAATGACCTGTACAGCCACAGGCTGCGAGTTCTGCTCTGACCACTGACGGACAGATGGATCAGAAACAAATCTGGCCCAGCAAGAGGTCACTGTATAGCCAGATATCCTGCAGTATTTTAAACTCTATCATTGACACCAGGGTAAGCACACAGCATGTTCTACCTATGGACAAAGAAGGTAAATCATCCTATATGACTGTGTAAGCTTTGTCATTTCTGATTCTTACATTTGGATTAAACAGTTCATTCATGGTGACACTAGAAAGTAATATTATATAAATTGCAGTCTGGACCACTTAAGGCCCTTTCACACCAAGAACAATAACTACAAATAACTATAACAATAACTATATTAGCGACCACATCAACGGGTGATATGATTCTGTTTATTATAAGCATGCACTGCAGTTATGTAGTCTGCCACTTTAATGCTTGGGTGAATTCTGATTGGCTGTATTATATTGTTATTATATTGTTATATTTGTGGTGTGGACTTCTCAAAGAATTAAGATGATTATGAAACATTTTAGAGTTATAGTTATCGTCCTCGCTGTGAACAAGCTTTTAAACATAACATAAGGCTATCTATTAATTCATTCAAATTTGCATTAAAAATGCAGATCATACTCACAACGATTGCTTTAAAACGTGCCTGCAAGTTGAGCATGTTTTTTTTTTTTTTTTTACTTATTTCTCAATGTGTTCGTTTTGGGTGGGCCTAAAGTAAAAAAAGAAAACCTTATTTTTTATAATGCAAAAAGACATTCGGCACAAAAGTTTGTTATTAAAACTTTTACAAAACTGCTTCACTGCTTATTAATAATTGACAACCACATGACTTTTTCAGAGTCATTAAATTTAAACTTCTTGAAAATGGTATAAGGTTTTCAAAACCAAATGAAACCCTCATAGAAAGAGAGCGAATCCATACTACACACCGTCCTGATGTCAAGGGCCTTGAAATATTAATGCTTTCAAATAAAGGACCAGTGCCACAAGGAACATGTCATGCTCCAATTTTAAACAACGTGTGAACAAATCAAGAATCAAATGTTCTCGTCTGGTTCCATAATCAATCTGTAATAACAGATACTTTACATGGATAAAAGGTAGGAACTGCACTGACCATTATGAGCATCAGGAAATAGAATGGAAGGAGAGCTATTATTTAATAAATCAACCTCGGTTTAATTTTGAATGACTGAGGAGAGGGCAGGTTCTGAATCAATGATCAGCACCCTGTCAGGGCAGAGCAATCCAGACCAACATGCTTAATAAAAAAAAATAAAAAAAATAAAAAATTGAACAATGTCCTGTTGATTGCTATGTTCGTTTTGTTGCTGCAGCTTAAATAGTAGAGCATTTGCACTAGCAACGCCAGTGTTTCCCCTGCCATTATATTAGGGGGGCGGCCCACGCCCCCAACGGCACCCCCCGCCCCTCTTGAAGGTCAAGTTAATTTTATTTAATTGTATTTTTTCTATAGCGCCAGATCACAACAGAAGTCATTTAAAGTTACCTTTCTGGTAGAACAGGTCTATACCTTGTTCTTTTATTAAACAAACTAAATAGCCTTATGTTATTGATTAAATGTGTTAAACTGTATTTATTTAGGATTTTCTTAGGAAGAACAAAATATTAGAAGGACATTATTCCAGCAACTGTGTGAAACTGTTATCACAGTGATTGAAATATCCTGACTTGACATTCCTTATAGGACAAAACAATCTGTATTGTTTTCTTTCTTTATTTATGTGTTAACTGTCCATTTCCATCTCACATTGCAGTGTTTCCCCTGCCATTATATTAGGGGGGCGGATAGAACAGGTCTATACCTTGTTCTTTTATTAAACAAACTAAATAGCCTTATGTTATTTATCTTATTTACACTACGGCATGTCATTTCGGTCTCTACGTTATGGTCGCGCTCTCTGTATCATGCACAGCGGAGTTCCGCCCTGATGCACATGCGCACACACACACACACACACGTGCGCGCACACAAAAGTGAGCACACTCCCACTAGTATTTGTAAATATTAAGCCGCAAAACGACTATTTAAATATGAATTCTTCGTGTCTCTGTGTTAATGAATGGTGCAGACGTGCGGTTTTGTTTACTACTCGTACTGAAGCGCGCGTGACGCTTGCGGTGATTTTAGCGTCTGCCGTCTCACTAA